AAGGTTTCGGACTTTTTCGATATCCTAACTTTGAACCTGTCAACCTAGCTGTAATAGAAATAAAAAGTTTCCAATAAACAAAAAATAGAAAAATAGCCACAGCGCGTAACGTGGCGAATAACTAGGAACGATAATATTCAAGACTCCGGGAAACCACTCAATTGCCTAAATAATTTTAATGTGCTGTATTGCGGTCGCTTCCGTTGCCGTAATGTCGTGTGTCGTCTTTGCGTTTTACACTTCGGCGTGTTAAAAAGTACACTGGTGGGAACGATACCGTAAGAAATCAAATCCCACACGAGGGTTCGGCCGCGACGCGATCGGTGTATTACGTTTTATTATACGGCGCACTATAATATACGTGACGGACGAAATAATATCGGACGGCCATAATAATATTATTATGACGGTAATAATAATATTATATTATTGTTATTAATAACGCTGCCGCCATCGCCGCCGTTCGGGTCGTCGCGTTTATCGGCGACACGATAATATTATATATTATTATACGGGCCGCACGGTCGCGCGCAGATGACCCGGACGGTACTAAATAATTTAGTTGGCGAGCTTAAGAAAACGACCACGCGATACATGTACAACCCGGATCCATTTGCAGATTACAACGATATATATATATATACACACACGCGCGCCGCAAGTGTATATACCTACGTATGTAAGGGGTGAATAACGAGGAAATGCGTAATAGCTGTGCTTGTGTGTATATTATATATACGTACTATGTAGGTATATATGTTTATATCGTATAATATATGAATCCACGGAGGTGTATATAGTATATTATATACGTGCATATATTATGAGCGCCGTAATAGTTTTAGCACAGCGTCTGATCTATACGCGAAGTATATTATAATAATAATAATAATAACAATATTATTATTGTCATTCGACCCGCGACAACGGAATGCCGTTCGCGTGATGCTATAGGTCATAGGAGGTACGTATAATACGACAGTGTATATAACGGTAATAATGGCCGACCAAGGTAGTGGTAATGGTGATATGATATGATATTATTATATATCATATTATTATGCACTGCGTACACGTTATGATAACGATATGATTACTATCGTAGGCATCGCGGGGTGCGGCGATTCAACTATTAATACATATTATTATTAATAATATTATTATTGTAATTATCATCGTTTAACCGATACCGACACGGAAATCGCTTATTACAATATTATGACATCGAATTATAAATGTATAATAATAATACAACCGCAACGACCCTTATTGGCCTTATTATATTGTTACGACATCGGAGCATCCGTGACTCGTTTTCGGCGTGGTAACGTTTGAACAATGATGTTATAATATTGCATGTGACGTAGGTATAACGATATATTACGAAATAATAATAAATCGTATATATATATACATAGGTACGTGACATAAATCAATAACTTATTTCGCGATACGAAGACGAGACATTTAAAACTTAGGCGTATATCTCAAAATTATATTGTTCTAAACTTTCAACTTTTGACATTTTTGTCCCGTTCACGTATTTTTTTGTATACATACTACTTATGCTATAAAATCAGAACTTCACTTCGAAATTATAACAAAATTAATTACAGCCACGCAATCGCAATTTTCTCATTTGAAGTAATACTATAATAATTTGTATTTAAAAATATCATGATATACACATTAGTTTTATTTTAAATATACTAATATATTAAATCGTAATGTAACAGAATTTTATATTTCAAATATCAACACTCAATATATTAATACAATATATTATATAAATATTCATTACCGTATTCAATTATAATGTTAAAATTTTTCAATTATTTATTTATTATTTTTCCTTTTTTTTTAGTAATTTTATATTTTATAAATTATTTTATATAATACAATGATATAGATCACTCCAGTCATTGCTTTTTAATGCATTCATTTATCTTGGAATTCAAATTTATGACGAAACTATATCTTAAAATCAGTGTTGGACAAAAAACTCTATAAGCCTAACTGATGATTGATGTTTTTTAGTGCTATATATCTATTATTTAGTATTCATAAATTTAAATAAATATAATATATATATATATACCTACATGAGGGTATAGAATATATCAATACATCTATGTATCAATACTCAACATAGTATGATAATAGCGTAGATACCTCAACCGACAAAAAATAATATAAATATTTCTAACGTTAAGACATAAATTGTAAGATTTGTAATAAAATTTTGAAGCATTGGAAAAATACCTGTTTAGTCGTAAGTTGTATACTTTAAATAGTATCATTATATAAATTTAAGGCATTGAAAAATATTTTCAAGTCACTTTAATAATTATTACTAACCTACATTTTTGGGATGAATTCGTAAAATAATTCTTTAATAAACTGATATAATTCCGATTTATTTAAATTCAATTAAATTCAATAGTACTATGTATTTTGATCTTATTCACATCGCAAATATGCAATTTCTACAATTATTCAAGAATATTTAATATATATTTTTTATTTAACGACATTATCAATTAAACTTTAGTTTATAAACTGACTTGTTACTTGAAAACTAAAAAATATCGTTGTTCTTATATGATTTTAGTTATATTATACTTACATGGTAATTAGAGTATTATTATTATTATTATTAATATTAATCAAAACGCATTAATTATTGTTATATTATCTCCCATTCTCTCTGTTATATGAAACATAAATTAAAAATATTATTCTATGTTTTATAATATTAAAAAAAATTTAAGGTAGGTAAGTACTAAAATATGAAAATGTTTTTGGATAAAACATCATAGACATCGAGGTAGAGGGTAAGCAAGCGTAGCAACTAGGGAACAAAACCCATTAGTTTTCAATAAAAAAAAAAGGCAAGCTCGTACCACTCTGTTGTATATTAGGTGTCGTGTGGGTCACTATTATGGGTGTGTTGAATTCGAATTCAATGATATATTATTGTATACGAAAAACTATTCTGAGCGGAAACGGTAACGGTCTGTCAGCTTATAGTATCATCAACTATATTTCATGATATATTTTTTTTATACATAGTTATTAAAACCATTTATTTTACTTTTAATATTTTGGTAAGTTGGTATAATTTTTTCTTGAATAATGTAGTATTTAATTATTATAATAATATACTTTATTACCATATAATAAAAATATATATATAACTCAAAATTTAATTTTATCTTTCTGTAAATATCATATAACTTCAGAAATAGATTCATAATACAAATAAATACTATCTTAAAATAAACCAAAAATATCATTGCGTATAAATACATATAAAAATTTAAAGTTCCCACAATTTTTTTTTTTTTTAATTGTAACAAAATAAAGATATCAATATAGTTAAAATCTGATTTAGCGTAAAATATCTCGTCTTTTCTTAATTTATTCGATTATAAGAAAATACTAGGAGTTTATATTTTATTTATCTCTCTATCGTACAAGCTAAATCCAATTTTCTATTCAAAATCACTCTCAAAGTAAAAAATTAAAGCATTTATTGACAACTTATCGAGTGAGTAATCATACAAAAAAATACACATAATCATTGTAAAATCAATATATTTGTTGCTCAAAAGCTAAAATTATATTTACATTTACTACAAAACTCAATTTTTAATTATTTTAAAATATTTAGTGCTATTTTTAAGACTATATAATAAAGTGGCCAACTTTATGTACATGCCTGCCACTTCTTTTTAAGTTTAAAAAAAAAAATACTAAAAAAATACCATCAGATTTTATTGCGAATTTCACCTTTTTTTTTTTTTTTGCCAAATAATGGACTTTTTCCGATATTAACAAACCCAAAGTTCCGTCTTGGTTCAATTATTTCCAATCGATTGAATTTGCTACATGAAAGACCAGATATATATTTACCACCAGAAAAAAGTGATCGCTGACACACTATTGTTTGTTTTTTAACACGTCACTATAAACTAATATAATTTGTCTCTTCACTTTAAAAATATGGATAAAATATCCATGGAATAAGATTGTTCCATGACCAAATTAAGACATTTTTAATGTTAATAATATTCGATAAGCTAAAAACCAAAAATAATTAAAATGTATGATAAGATTGTAAAATTTGAATTTTAAGTCAAATGAAGATAATTTCTAATTGGAATATAACATCTATTAACATATTTTTAATAGATTTCGATATAAGCAAACACGCTTTCGTTAACTATTAGTATATTATTTAATTTAATTTTTCTCGTTGTTACAACTTAGAGCCGTTTACACAAACAAATGGTAATTAAATTTATTTTTGACGATAAATTATGCATAATATTTAGTAAATTATATATTCTTTTATGACGTATACAATACATAAAATGCAATGTACAATTTATGTACACAAAAAAAAATTTATCTGTATCAATCGAAAGATTTTAACGAACATTTTCAACATTACATTTATGTAACCATAAAGTTATATAATACGAAAATAACTTTTTTGAATAAAATACAAAATTAAAAACACGCGATTACATGGGTGATACAACAGACAAAATAATATTAAAATTACTAAAAATGGCATTAAATTATCAATGGAAGCCAAAAAAGAAAAAGAAATATGTACCTAAATATTTATTAATATACCGTAACATATTATAAGTGTAAACGTATTATGTGTTGTACGTTTTAGGGAAAAAATAAATATTTATTTTTATAATAAATTTCATAAAGGGTAGAAAAAATATGCATATACTGTAATAACCAAACGTTCAAAATATTATATAGATATTATTGTGCATACCTATATTAACAAGTGGAATTTTTCACGTCGATATTATTTTCATCATTTGGCCAATATTTAATCTGCACAAGAATTTAACAACAAATATGTTGTATCGTACAAAATAAAAACGTATTGTAGAAAAATATAGAGGATGAAGTTGAGGATACAAGGGGTGACCTAACCTTGGAGAGTAAATTAAAATTGAAAACTCCTTCACCTGTTCAGTTGGACGTGAAGAAAAAACCCACAACAAATCGTGGGTGATTCACATAGATAATATTGTTATAATATTATTTTGGTGTTCGATCGCCGAATGCGCGATACGATGTAATATGTACCAATCGAACCCGACTCGGGGGTGGGGAGACCGCACTATCCACTGTTATTATGATTGTGTTTATTAATGAATTTTTTAAAAAATTTTTGTTTTTTTATTTAAACTCACGTTATCACGACAACGCGGTACAAATCGCGAGACGACTGCGGACGAGGCACAGAGACCGTTCGAGTGCGAGAACACCGCTCGTCAATAGACAATGTCGCGCGTTGTCTGCCGACCACCGACTGGACCGCCAAAGAAGCGGGCGCCTGTAGTACTCGCCGTCGATCCCGTCAGCCGCCGGCACAAATAGAACGGTAACAGCGCCGCCACCGTCACCACCCACACATGCGGCTGCCCACGGGGGATGAAAAATGGAAGAGGTAAATTTTAGCACCCCAATTTTTGACGACGACGACAACGACGACAATATTATTTCGTTATAATAACCTACCCGAACACCGGTAATGTTAACCGATATATTTCCCCTGCCAGCGTCGCAACCCAACCGATTTCGAATCCATCTTGACCGCCGTATTTCGTGATAGAAACTCGTTGCCAAGCTCCTCCCTTCCACTGTAAAACACCTAAAACAATAGTTTATCACAGATGTAGTTCTTACGGTAAATTGTTGAATCAGTTTGATACGAATGCAATATACTCGGAACTATCACCATATTATAATATTATATAGATAATTAACATCAGTGTAACAGTAGTAAAAAAAAAAATTGAATTTTCATGATGGAGACCTATCAAGCTATCACTGTCTAAGATACGAGTATATCTACTCGTAATCATTGTTTGCGGTATAGCTAAAATGCCTTTCCAAAACGTTTGTGTACAAAATAATCGTAGAAAATAAAATTGTATACCTAGAGTCATTTTCAAACGACGGTCAAATAATTTATTCGCTCATTCAGGGGCATCATTTGAGAATGACAGTCGACAGAAGTATGCATTTGCCCAACTTAAAATTTTAAAACAGCCTGATGGTCCTATATGTAAGGTTGTTGCCGTTTAACCTTTATCGTCAATAATCGGTGAAAAAAATATGCTTTTATTTATAATACAATGTACTAGAAATAAGAAATTATTGTCACAATGATAAATTAGTTATTTCTTTATGAGACGCGTAATGCATGTTATGTGAAAGAAAGTGAACATTATAATATTATCGTATGTACAATAACAATATCAATTACATTAAGTAATATCAATAATCATAAATAATTGTTGTATAGTTTAATCACAGAATTGATTAAATTGAATCTATTTTATGGTTTTATTTCTGTTTATTGCATATTTTGAGAAAATGAAAACAAAAAGAAATCTACTAATAGCTTAAAAATATTTTCGTTATTTAATCGTAAGTTAACAAATTTTTAATTTATCACGATTTAGTATAAAATATTTGCTTACTATATAGTTGTGAATTATAAAGTTAGTAAATAAAAAATGTTTCATTGTAAAGATTAGAGAAAACTGATCTAAATTATAAAATATCCTAATATGGAAAAGTAAATTGGTAAAAATGTAAGTAGAAATATTGTAAATATACCATCAGTATTTTTAAATTACTTATTTGGATTGGTCAATATTTTTTTCTGCGCTCTATAGAAAATGTAAATGATGCCATTGCACTCGTTTAAACGTTTGATGTATATCTACTATATCTATAGATTTTATATCGATAAGAGAGACTTTTGATTTGTTTGATTTGCCATGTATAGGATTTATTTTATCTTAAGATTATTGGAGTCTCAAATTCACCAAAACATGTTCATATTGTCAAATTTAAGACGTAAGTACATCATTTATTTTTAAGCAGACGTAGATGTAATAATAATGTTTTAAATGAAGGGTTTAAATTAAATTAAATTAAATATCATAAAGGTATTTATAAAAAATCCTCTGTCGTATTGATACAACTACTCTAAAATAATATTGATTGTCTCAATAAATTCTGATTTGCACATAATATTATTGTCGTTTCTCTTAAAAACAATTTCAAGAGGATACTTTTTTTTTAAGTGCTTTTATTTCAAGAGGACATTTAAAATTGTTAAAATCTAAATCACCACCCCAATTTGCGCTTAAGAAAAATATATATGTTATAATTAATTTAAATATAAATTTTACGAATTTCATAGTAGCCAAAATTAAAATATATAATATGTGATGATTACCAGTTACAAATTTCCAAGCAAATTTCATTTTATAAATACGCCGTAGTCAGCATTTTAAGGTTTTACAGTTTATTTTGAATTATTATTATTAAAATTAATCTTTGTGAAAATATTGAATTAGGCATGCTAATGTACTGCGTAACTATTGCAGCGCGCATTATCATTTATAATCATAGTAGGTACATAGTAACATACTACGAAACTCTGTACTACACTGCTGTAAATCAAAACTTATTCATGCGTTTAAACATTATGGTTTTTTCGAACATGCATTTCAAAAATGAACACGATTTTGAAAGCTCGAAATAAAATCCATAATGATTTCGGGACTCCAAAATGGGCCAAGATAATAATGCCATCGTGTAACTTGTGTACGCCGCTTTACTGCAGTGCGATTTATAACCACTTACTCTGAAGAGTGGCATATCACGGACACGGAAAATCCAACCATAATAGCGTGTACGTGGGCGGCACAGTTCGGGATAAATCGACGTAACAGAGACACCTCAGTCACGTCACCGCCAGTGTTAGATTTATTTTCCGACACATTTTTCCGATTAAATTGTTCAACATTGGCTATAAATCGTTTCTGTAAGATAATTATTTTGACATTGCTGAGATTATAATATAAAATCCCGATAACAAACTCTACCACAGTGACAGGTCAAACATCACACTATTATAGTCTACCTATATATAGTTACCAATATTTAGATAATGCATAATCGTACCTATGTAGGAGCTCATTATAATAATATTATTGTAATGATATTGCGTCTACGATCATCAAAACTCTGCAACCGAATCACTGATTCGAGTTTTAATTTTCGGACGCCAGATATTTTTGACTTGTTCAAATACTGGGAAAAAAATTAACACGTTTTTGGATATTAAAAATATTTATTATATAGGTTAATATAGATATTTAATAATTAGATTACAATCTAAAAAAACTTTAAAAATTATCCACAAAATTAATACCGTCAAGTCATGAAAGAAATTTCTTGAATATCATAAAATAACTTAGTCTTAGTTATTATAATATTTTAAATAAAGATAAATATCGACGTTGCATTATCACAATACTTACCACTTACGACAAACTTATAGTCGCAAGTTGTAATAACAATATTATACACAATACTTTATAACGATATCTAAACAACTTTTTAGTTTTTCTATCATTTATACCATAATAAGTGCTCAAATCAAATTGACATCACTAAAAATGTGCCCAAGGAAATTAAACTAAAATGATTTTTGTGCACAATTTATAATAAAAGTTAGAAAGGTTTTTTGAAATACTAATTAGTTCGTTAGAATAATATTGATGCGAATAAATTTTCTTTAGATGAAACAATCCTATTTCAATTTCATTATTATTGTAGTTACTAAAATTTGAATTATCCATCATTACTTTTGCATAGAGTAATTTAAAATATATAGTCATACAATAATAACAAAGAAAAACCTAGTATTAATAACTCATTCAATATTATTATTATTAAAACAAATAATTCATATCTTATTTTTTATTCATTATTGACTCTTTGAAGCACACGTCTTAGTAAATTTATTGAAAAACTTTTTTATTGATAAGTATATATTATTAGGCACTTCCCGTCAAGTACTACTACTAGGTAGCTACTTATCTCAAGTATTCATAGCTCATATTTTACTTTGTCGAGTTCATATGTTTATTGTACATTTTTTTTACAGATTGTGTATAAATTTATTTAATATTAAAAAAAGTATATATTATGTACATTAAATATAATATGAATAAATCAAGACAAAAAAAAAATAAAAATAGAGTCTAACATATTTATAACTAGGACTTGGAATTTAATGCATTTACATCTTTTTTTCTAATACATTTATACAAGCCTTGTTTTTACAGAAATGTGGCTTAAAATTCAATGAAGCCATTTTTATTTTTCATTTTTAGGTAATTTTTGATTATACAGTTATTTTTTATTGATTTTGATGCATTTTTTATATTTTTGTAGATATATTTGCACTTTTTAAATTTTTCTTTTGTGTTATTTTGAAAAAAACTAACGTATTACGTAAAGCCCAATCTTTCAATTATTTTTTTTTTTAAAATACCGATTTTTTTGTAATTATTTTGTATTACTGAAATTATTTTTATCTCCGTTTTAAATTTAATTTAGGCCCCGTGTCTGTAAAAAAAAACATATTTAATGTATAAAAATTATTGCATTTTTTAAATTCAGATGAATAAAATAATAAATTAATGATTAAAAAATATTAATTTAAAAACTATGATTTTTTAATGATTAATTATTAAAAAAACATAATTTTTGAAAATATTATGTTATTTTTTGGTATTTTAAAAGTCATTTTTTTATGTTTATAAATCATTTTAATACTTTTTTGAATGCATTATTTAAAAATTTTAAGGTCGTCAAGTTCCAAGCTCTATTTATAACTTTCCTTTTACTAAGAATTATGAACCATAGTTAAATATCAACATGAAATAATATCAAAATATAAACTTTGCTTCAATTGAAGTCAAAATAATAAACAAAAATAAATTGTTGATACCTATTTGTTTGTTATTAATTATTCTAATTCTTAAAAACTTTTAAATTTGCATTGAAACATATGGATTTTGAAGCAAAATTAACTTTTAAAATAAAGTCTAAACTCACAAAAATGTAAACTAAATTCAAAATAAGTTATCTCAACAAAATAAAAACTGTATTATTCATCATTCAGACGTTTAATACTTTAAACAAATTAACAAGTTCATAATCTTATCTTATTCGTTCAGAGGTCTCTTTTTTACTAAAAAGATATAAAAATAAATAAAAAGGTAATAGCTAGTAAATATTGTATATAAATATACTAGTTTTATACCTGAAAATTGTATTTTCATATTATAAGCTTTGGATAAAAATTTTTAACAAGATTTTTGTTTTACTTAATTATTCTAAATTGACAAAAATAGACAATTTATATAATTATATCGTTTTGATCAACAATATAAAAATCCAGCAAATTCTAGTTTATAAATTT